GACCTCTAACCCACTGGGGCTGACTGAGCCCTGGTCTTGGCACTCCTCCAATCTCCCATGGGAATCTCCCCATGTGCTTACTTCCCCAGCAGACCCCGGGGGCTTTGATTAGCTGGGGTCCTCTGCTTCCTCCCAGAGGTCAGCCCCGCCCCAGGAATCGACTGAGAATTTGGTTCCATTCCTGGTCACGGATTCAGCTAGAGAGTTGTCCCCAGGGCCAGAGCCCTAATTGTCTGGACACCCGGATCTGAATGACAAGCTGACTCAGCAAGAAAGCCTCCCAGAGGTGGGTCCAATGCTGGACTGGGATCAGAACCAAACCCTAGTTCAGCCTCCTTACCTCAAAAGTAAGGTTCAGACTACAGATCTAGATCAGGCTGCAGATCATCAGGCAGATGAAATACTCATTCCACCTCTAGACAGTAAGGATTCAAAAGCAGCGGAGTTTATAGTTTCTCCCAAGGACCTGAAGAAAGATCCAGCTCAGCACTGGGGGCTTGCTAAGGTTGTGGGAACTCCACGTCGATTTGTATCAAAACCTCAGCATCAGAAACAAACTTTGCAGGATGAGTATTTAGATTCAAGTATGGATATGCTGTATCCCAGCAGCCTGCCGCCAGAACTCCAGGTGAACTCAGATGAGCCTCCAGGGCCCCCTGAGCAAGTGACTTTCTCAATTCCATCTAGAGCCTGAAACTCAAAATCCAGAGATGCCTGAAGAGCTCCAGTCCTCTTCCCTCCAGCAAGAAGCCCCAGTGCGGCTTCCACAGCTCCCTGAGGAGGTAGAACCTTCTTCAACCCAGCAGGAGGCCCCAGCTCTGCCTTCACAGTCCCTTGAGGGGGTCAGCTTTTCTTCAGCAGAGCAGCTGGCCCAAGCGCAGCAGCTACCTGTCTCTGAAGAGACTGGAACTCGCCCATCAATACAGCACGAGTTAAATGTTCCATTTAAAAGTTGGAGTGAAGCTCAGCACTCAAACTTGCCCAATGTCACAGTCAAACCTATGGATGTGGAGCTTACAGGAACTCCAGAGCTAGGAAAGGAACTTACATCAAACCAGGAACAGGCCTCCAAAGCACCCCAAGAAGGTGAAGTCTTCCTCAACCCAATTAGAGGCCACAGCTCAGATACCAGAGCACTCTGAGACGAAACCTGCATCCCAGCAAGAGACCCCAGCTGAGCCTCCAGGTCCTCCTGTGGAGGCTGAACGTTTCCCCAGTGAGCAGGAGCAGCCAGCTCAGCCTTCCGAGTTTCCTTCGGGGGCTGAACCTTCTCTGACCCGGCAGGAGGCCCCAGCTCAGCCTCCACAGAGGTGTGGAAAGTCTAACTCAAACTCCACCGAATCATGAGGTGACAGTTCAACCTCCAGGTAAGGATCAAGCTCATTATAACTTGCCCAACATTACAATTAAACCTGCAGATATGGAGATTGCTATAACTTCAGAGCCTACCAAGGAGACAGAATCTTCCCAAGCCCAGCAGGAGGATCCAGGCTCAGCCTCCAGAGGAGGTAGAACCTTCTGCAACCCAATAGGAGGCCACAAAGGAGCCTCCAGGTCCTCCTATGGAGCCTGAACTTTTCCCCCAGTGAGCAGGAGCAGCCAGCTCAGCCTTCTGAGTCTTCTAGGAGCTTGAATCTTCTCCAGCCCAGCAGGAGACCCCAGCTCAGCCTCCAGAACATCACGAAGTAACAGTTTTACCTGCAGGTCACCATCAAGCTCAGCATTCAGATTTGCCCAGTATCACTGTTAAGCCTCCAGACGTGCAGCTCACCATAACAACAGAGACTACTGCAGAGATGGGAACTTCTCCAATCCACCAGGAGGCTACAGCTCAGCTCTAAGGACCAGTTAGGGATGTAGAACCTTTCACCACCCAGCACGGGGGCCCACCCCTGCTTCCAGAGTCATTGAAAGATGGACCTTTACCAATTCAACAGGAGACTTCAGTCTCCAGAACCTACTAAGGATGAGAACCCCTCTGCAACCCAGAAGGAGGCTGCAGCTGAGCATCCACAGACCCCTGAGGAGGTTGAGTCTCCTCTAATCCAGCAAGAGGCCCCAGCTCAAATTCCACAGCTCCCTAATGAAGTTGTAGCACAACCTCCGGAGCATCATGAGGTACCAGTTTCTTCTCTAAGTTATGATCAACATGTTCAACCTCCAGCATTGCACAATGTCACTGTTAAACCTGTGGATCTGGCCGGGCGCGGTGGCTCAAGCCTGTAATCCCAGCACTTTGGGAGGCCGAGGCGGGTGGATCACGAGGTCAAGAGATCGAGACCATCCTGGTCAACATGGTGAAACCCCGTCTCTACTAAAACTACAAAAAATTAGCTGGGCATGGTGGCGCGTGCCTGTAATCCCAGCTACTCAGGAGGCTGAGGCAGGAGAATTGCCTGAACCCAGGAGGCGGAGGTTGCGGTGAGCCGAGATCGCGCCATTGCACTCCAGCCTGGGTAACATGAGTGAAACTCCGTCTCAAAAAAAAAAAAAAAAAAAAAAAAAAAAAAACCTGTGGATCACATGGTTACAGTGACTCCAAATCTCACTAATCAGGTTGAAATTTTAACCCAACAGGGGGCCCCAGCTCAGCCTTTAATATCCCCTGAGCAGTTTCAACATTTGAAACACCAGCAAGAGATTATAATTCAGCAGCTAAATACCCCTGAAAATGATGAACTTCCTCCAGTCCATCAAGAGCCCACAACTCAGCCTCCAACTCAGCTCAGTCCATTTGAGTAATGAGATGGTATTTTCACCTCTAGATCTGTCTCCAGTATTCAGAAGTAATTCACCTTTGCCTAATACCACAGTTAAAAATGTGGATCTGGGGCTTACCATACCTACAGCAGTCACTATGGGGGTTGAACCTTCTCCAGTCCAGCAGGACAACCCTCCTATTCCCACTGAGCAGGCAGACTTTTCTCTAGTCCAGCCTGATCTCCCTTCCCCACCTCTGTATTCTCCTGAAAAGATTGAACCTCCAGTCCAGCAAGAGGCCACAATTCAGACTCCAGATTCCCCTAAGGACGTAGAACCTTCTCCAGTCTGGCAAGAGTTACCAGCTGAACCACCATTGCCCCTTAAGGAGGTTGAACCATCTGTAACCCAGTAGGAAGCCTCAGGTCATCCTCTGAAGTCCACAGAAGAGATCATCAGCCTTCCACTGCAGCAGGAGATACCAGCTCAGCCATCAGAGCCACCTGGGAAGGTCGAACCGTCTCCTGTCCTACAGCAGGCCCCAACTGAGCTTTTAGAGCCACCTAAAGAGGTAGGATCCTCTCCAGTCCAGCAAGCAGTCCCTGCTCAGTCTTCAGAGCCCCCTATGGTGATAGAACCTTCTCTGACCCAGCAGATGGCCCCATCTTTGCCTCCAGAGTTCCTTGAAGAGGTGGAACCATCTCTAACTCAGCAGGAGGTTCCAGCACCCTCTATGGAGGCAGAACCTTCTCGACCCCAGCAGGAAGCCATAGTTCAGGCCCCAGAGCCCCCTAAGGTTCTAGAACCTTCAAGCCAGCAGATGGTCCCAGCTCAGGTTCCAGAGCCATCTAAGAATGTTGCAGCTCAACCTCCAGCTCATTATGAGGTGACAGTTCCAACACCAGGTCAAGATCAAGCTCACCGCTCAGTGTCGCTTAGTGTCCAGTTCAACCTTTAGACCTGGGGCTTACCATCACCCCAGAATCCACAACAGAAGTTGAACTTTCTCCAACCTCACAGGAGACCCCAACTCAGCCTCCTAAGAAAGTTGTACCCCAACTTCCAGTGTATCAAGAGGTAATAGTTCCAACACCAGGTCAGGATCAAGCTCAGCACCCAATGTCACCCAGCGTTGCAGTTCTGTCTTTGGACCTGAGACTTACCATACCCCCAGAACCCACTACGGAGGTTGAACATACTACACCCCTGAAGAAGACTATAGTTCCTTCAAAGCACCGTAAGGTGACACTTCCACATCCAGACCATGTTCAGATTCAGCATTCAAACCTGACTCAAGCCACAGTTCAACCTTTGGATCTGGGGCTTACCATCACTCCTGAATCCACTACAGAAGTTGAACATTCCACAGCCCTGATGGCTACAGCTCCTCCTCCAAAACAGCCTGAGGTGACACTTCTACCTTCAGACAAGGGTCAGACTCAGCATTCAAACCTGACTCAAGTCATAGTTCAGCCTCTGGACCTAGAGGTTACCATCACCCCAGAATCCATGACAGAGGTTGAACTTTCTCCAACCATGCAGGAGACCCCAACTCAGCCTCCTAAAAAATTGTGCCCCAACTTCTAGCACATCAAGAGGTAACAGTTCAAACACCAGGTCAGAATCAAGCTCAGCATCCAATGCCACCAAGAGTGACAGATCAACCTTTGGATCTGGGGCTTACCATCACTCCTGAATCCACCATAGAGATTGAACCTTCCACAGCCCTGATGGCTACAGCTTCTCCAAAACACCCTGAGGTGACACTTCTACCTTCAGACAAGGGTCAGACTCAGCATTCAAACCTGACTCAACTCAGAGTTCTACATTTGGATCTGGGGCTTACCATCACTCCAGAACCCACTACAGAGACTGGACATTCTACAGCCCTGGAGAAGACTACAGCTCCTCGTCCAGACAAGGTTCAGACTCAGCATCAAAACCTGTCTGAAGTCACAGGTCCACCTACTGATCTAGAACCTACTCGGGATTCACTGGTGCAGCCTGAAACTTACGCCCAAAATAAGGCTTTAACTGCACCAGAGGAACAGGCCTCCACAAGCACCAACGTGTGAGCTCTGTACCTGCAGAGATGAGACGCTGTCGTGTATTGATCTCAAACCAAAGCAGAGGCTCCGCCACGTGCCTGTGCCAGAGCCCAACACCTACAATGTCACCTTCACTATCTTGTAAGCATCACCTTTCCTCCATTGTCCTCTGTGTCCTGCCTGACATGGCAGGCTTTTCCCGGAGGCCTTCCTGGGTCTGCCTTATCTCCCGAAGCCATACTGATAGCTGACTTTCTGCTTTCACCTTTGCTTGTCCACTCTTCCTTCTCCTCATTCTCCTTTACTGTTAGGCCCCTTCTCCAGTCTTTTACTTTTACTCTAGTCTTTTACCCTTACTCGTTTTCTTATCCATTTTTATTTAGCCTCATCACATCATTGCTTAACTGTTGCTCTCCTCCCATTTTCACTTCACCCTATTTACAGCAGCCTGTCCCTCTCCCCATCTCAGTGATGATGCTCTAAGGGCTTAAGAGTTGATTCTGGAGCAAGGCTGCCTGGGTTTGAACCCAGGTCTGTCATTTATTAGCTTGGTGACCCAGAGCAAGTTTTTCTGCTCTGTGACTCAGTTTCCTCATCTTTAAACTGGGGATTATGCTAGTTACCATTTCACAGGATTGTTGCAAAATTCAGGTGAGGAATACATGAAATACTTTCATCAGTGCCTAGCATATGTAGGAGTGTTGGTTGTTAACATGATTACTCAGTCCTTTAGTTTTGTCCAGAACTCATCTTTGTCCCTGGCTTTCTATCTGTAGCACTCGTTTTGTGTCCAACCCAGGGCCAAGTATACTACCGTCTCCAGAACATGAAAATGATAGGAAGGAAGGGAGAGAATAGGCACAAAAAGGGAGGTATATATAGTTAAACACTAAAAGATAATGCAGAACATCGGTGCTAGAATTTACCAGAATCTGTGATCCTTGAGGTGTGGCGGTCAGGGAAAGCTACATGGATAAGCTAAAACTTTACTTGGGTCTTAAAGAGTAGCTATAATTTGTTAAACAGAAAAAAAAAAATGGGAGTATATAGTCTAGGCAAAGGCATGGCTACAGGTATGGTTGGAATTTAGACCCATCTCACTGCACAGAATCACATGAGGGAACAATGAAGATATGATTGTGTAAAACCTCGATTATCAGCTATAGGAGTTTGAAAGTTACACAGTGAGATATGGAAAGCCATTGAAAGTTTCCAAGCAAGAGAGATGAAATGATTAAAATAGAAAGATTATTTTGTTTTTTTGCTTTATGTTCAAGTATAGACATGCAAAGAATTATTTTAGAATCCATATTTAGAGTGCCCTAGAGGAGAAACCTTAATTCAGGGAGACAAATAGAAAGGTCTAGCAAAACCTAAGAGTAAAGTGTGAAGGGGCTAAATCAGATCGGTTGTAATAGAAGTGGAAAGAAAAATCCTAGGATGTTTCAGCAGAGGGCACTGGGCCAAAGCTTTGGTGTTTCAGCAGAGGGCACTGGGCCAAAGCATACGGTTTCTTTCTTCTTATTTGTTGATAATGTTAAGCTTTTGCCCACTTTCTGTTGAATTATTTACGATTTTTGTATTGATTTGTAGAAGGAGTTGTTTAGACAAAATAAGTGCTTTTGGATAAAATACTTATATTCAAAGTAATTAACTGGCATCATCTAAGAGATTGGACGGACAGGAAGTTAAGCTTCGGGAGACACCTCATCATTTGTGCCAGTGGCCCCACATTATTTCTTGATTAATTGTGCAAACTGGGAAGCCGATAGCTCTGGAAATTAGAAGGCAGGTGTTATTTTCTGTAACTGAATATCCCTGACAAGGTTGCCATGATTCTTTTTCTTATCCTGTTCATTCTTTTCCTACCTATTCAAGGATATAAACTGTGTTTCTTTACGGAATTTCCAAGGAAACTATATTTCTTTTTCTTTTTTTTTTTTTTTTTTTTGAGACGGAGTTTCGCTCTTGTTACCCAGGCTGGAGTGCAATGGCGCGATCTCGGCTCACCGCAACCTCCGCCTCCCGGGTTCAGGCAATTCTCCTGCCTCAGCCTCCTGAGTAGCTGGGATTACAGGCACGCGCCACCATGCCCAGCTAATTTTTTGTAGTTTCACCATGTTGACCAGGATGGTCTTGATCTCTTGACCTCGTGATCCACCCGCCTCGGCCTCCCAAAGTGCTGGGATTACAGGCTTGAGCCACCGCACCCGGCCAGGAAACTATATTTCTTACATTGATGGAAATGTATGGAAAGCATACAGTTGGACTGAGAAACTCTGAGTATGTTCTCTCCAAACATGACAAAAAAACTAACTGCATTGTAACACCCTTGGTCCAGAATTTTGAGGTCTGTACTTCTGAGAAAATGTATTTCCCCTCCATACCCCAAATCAACCTCTGTTGATTGCAATCCTGTGGTTATTTTAGAATTAAATTTGGTGAGCTCTCTTTAAGAGGCAATTTAAATTTATTTTTTATCATACAAATAATACATGATTATATTCCCTTTTTTTCCTCTCTCTTTTTTTTTTTTTTTTTTTTCAGAGACAGGGTCTTACCTTGTTCCCCAGACTGGAGTACAGTGGCACAATCACTGCTCACTGCAGCCTCTGCCTCCCAGGCTCAAGTGATCCTCCACCTCAGCCTCCCAAGTAGCTGGGAGCATAGGCGCATGCCACCACGCCCACCTAAATTTGTATTTTTTGTAGAGTCAGGGTCTCCCTATGCTGCTTAGGCTGGTCTCGAACTCCAGGGCTCAAGTGATCCTGCCACCTTGGCCTCCCAAAATGCTGGTATTACAGGCATGAGCCACCACCCCCAGCCCATGATTTTGTTTTTAATGTATAAAAATGATGTAAGAGATACAACAAAATCCCTTGTTGTGCCCTACTCCCTCATCCCTGAGATAATGCTATTCTGCATTTAGTATATATCCTTCCAGAGTTTTTCCCATTGCATACATACATATTTACATAAAGCAAAATAGATTTGTTGTGTGGTTTTTAAAATCTTTCTTCTTTACATGAGTGGTAACATCTTGCAACTTGATTCTTTCACTTCATGATACGATTTAGATTTCTTTCCTTCCCAGTACTTAGAGGGTTACCGCATTCATTTTAAACTCCTGCATATCCATAGTATGGATGCATCATAGTTTATTTAATGATTCCCCCATTGATTAATATTTAGATTACATTTAGTTTTCTTGTTACATGCATTGCTGCAATGAAATCCCTGTATATGCTTTTTTGTGAACATGGGCAACTATTCCTGTAAAATAGATATCTAGAAATGGAATTGTTGGGGTGAAGACTGTGTAGATATAAAATTTTAATTGCCCTCAAAAATGTTGTGCCAACTTACTCTGTTGTCAACAGAATATGACAGCATTCATTTCCCCACACTTTTTCACCAACTTTTTGTTGATGGTCTCAAACTCCAGGGCTCAAGGTATTCTCCAACTTTTTGTTGATGTTATAGATGAATAAAGGGGCTTCCATCTAAATTTGAATTTTTCTGATTACTCATGAATTTAATTAAATACCTTTATATGTTTATTGAACATTTGTGTTTCTTCTCTGAGTTGTCTGTCCTTTGTTCATTTTCCTGTTGAATTGTTTTATCATTTTCTTACTGATTTATAAAAGGAATTAGTTTAGACACATAAATGATTTTGGAAAAAATGCTTACATTAGAAGTAACTGACGTTTTTCACAACAGTTTGTGTGTTACATCATTAGTTCAACACACATTGAACTAATGTAATTATATAGACAAGTCATACATGAGTTCTAAATTTAAAATAAAACACATGCTGGGCGCAGTGGCTCATGACTGTAATCCCAGTACCTTGGGTGGCCGAGGTGATTGGATCACTTGAGGTCAGGAGTTTGAGACCAGCCTGGCCAATATGGCGAAACCCCATCTCTGCTAAAGATACAAGAATTAGCCAGGCATGGTGGTGGGTGTCTGTGATCCCAGCTACTTGGGAAGCTGAGGCAAGAGAATTGCTTAAACCCAGGAGACGGAGGTTGCAGTCAGCCGAGATCACGCCACTGCACTCCAACCCGGCCAACAGAGTGAGACTAAGTCTAAAAAAAAAAAAAAAAAAAAAAAGACATAGTAATCTAAGAAGAGGAATTATGACTACTTTAAAATAGTTTTCCCCACCCTTGTCTGATATCTTATTAATAAGAAAAAAATGCTGGAACCAGACAATTCTGTTTTCTAGCTCTAGAGGAGAGGTGAGATTCCAGGGGTAGTGTTCCAGATGGACTCTGCTGAGAATAAGGAAGGTGTGGGAGATGGCTAGTAAGGGAGTGTACACCCTTCTTCCAGGGTTCCAGGACGCTGCCCACTTTCTGACAATTGTTCCTGCCTGGAGGAAGATACTGCTGCCTGGCTCAAGGAAGAAGGATATGGGGTTGATGTGCCTCTGGCTTCTCCTACTGCCTTGTCCCAACCAATAACTTGTAGGTAGTTCCCAGGCATTTCTGGTAGGGGAGCATTTGTAGAACTGCTTCCACATTTTGAGCTAAGGTTGTGGATTTTTAAATTATTTCTGTTGTATAACTTTCAGGGATTTGGTGGAGGTTGAACAGGTAGAGACTTGGCATGTTCTCAGTCTGCCACTTGAAATAGCACAACTTCTTAGGAAAACAATTTTGTACCCTTATTACATCTTAGAGAAACTCAGGCAAAAGTGTTATCAAGATACAAATATAAGAATGTTCAAAGCAGCATTGTTTGTAGTAAGTAAAAACTAGAAACATCTCAGTATCCATCCACAGTAGATGAATCATTCAATGGAATACTCTAAAGTGGCATTATTCATTAGAAACCTAATGCAGGTCACATACATAATCTTAACTTTTCTGGTAGTCACTTAAAAAATAAAACTAAAAAGGAGGCCAGTGCTGTGGCTCACAGGGAGGCCAAGGGGGGTGGATCACCTGAGGTCAAGAGTTTGAGACCAAACCTGACCAATACAGAGAAACCCCTTCTCTACTAAAAATACAAAAATTGGCCAGACATGGTGGCACATGCCTGTAACCCCAGCTATTCAGGAGGCTGAGGCAGGAGAATTGCTTGAACCCGGGATGCGGAGGTTGCAGTGAGCCAAGATCATGCCATTGCACTCCAGCCTGGGCAACAAGAATAAGACTCTGTCTCAAAGCTAGAAAGGAAACAGGTGAAACATGTTAATATATTTTATTTCACGCATATATCAAAAATATTATTTCAACATGTAATCATTATATATGTTATTAATGAGATATTCTGTTTTCATACTAAATCTTCAAAATATCCAAAGTGGTATCATTTCTACATGTAATTAGCATAAAAATTAATTGTGGCATTTACATTCTTTTTTTCATACTAACTCTTTGAAGACTAAATTAGGTTGCTAAATTTTTATTAAAAAAACTTAATCTGGGCCGGGCGCGGTGGCTGAAGCCTGTAATCCCAGCACTGTGGGAGGCCGAGGCGGGTGGATCACGAGGTCAAGAGATTGAGACCATCCTGGTCAACATGGTGAAACCCCGTCTCTACTAAAAATACAAAAAATTAGCTGGGCATGGTGGCGCGTGCCTGTAATCCCAGCTACTCAGGAGGCTGGGGCAGGAGAATTGCCTGAACCCGGGAGGCGGAGGTTACGGTGAGCCGAGATCGTGCCATTGCACTCCAGCCTGGGTAACAAGAGCGAAACTCCGTCTCAAAAAAAAGAAAAAAAAAAACTTAATCTGGACCAGGGTGCAGTGACTCATGCCTATAATCCCAGCACTTTGGGAAGCTGAGGCGGGCGGATCACCAGGTCAAGAGATCGAGACCATCCTGGCCAACATGGTGAAACCCCGTCTCTACTAAAAGTACAGAAATTAGCTGAGCATGGTGGCATGCGCCTATGGTCCCAGCTACACGGGAGGCTGAGGC